AAAAAAAAAAAATTAATACCACACCTCTGTGTGTATTGTCGAAACACACGCGTGGTACTTACTTTGAGTTCCTTTCCGAAACGGGCCGTTCACAAAGTACAGTTCTACATCTACTCTGCTTACTCGGCTCGCGGATCATCCGTGAGCAATGTGATTCCCTTGCTCGGTATCCCCGGCGAGACGAGTACACTAGTGTGTCGTAATACTGACAGTAAAGAGAATAATCGCTATCGAGATTAAAAATTAAGCTCACCTCTTACCCCACTCTCTTTCTTCCATTTTCTTCTTAATTCTTCGGCACAATCGTTCACGATTGCGCGCGATCACGGTTACAAATAATTAATAATAATAATAATTACACAAGTAACGCTTATCTTCTAAATCTTTATATCATTATTGTTGTGCCGTCGAGTGTGTGTTCTCTCTCTCTCTCTCTCGTGTGTGGATCACTTATATTTACGAATATTCTCCCCGTTTTTTTTTTTTTTTTTTTTTATTTTTATTTTTATTTTGCGCTCTGGGCCCAATTCAATTCTCTGGAGCCGGGACTGACAATCACTGACAACTCGGATCGACTAGCGCGTATTCAATTGCAAATACGATTGCGCCGTCAAAAAGCGCGGAACGCGCGAATATTCGATACAGGTACCTCTATCCCGATGTGAATCGACGATTAACGCGCGGGAATCATTTGCCGAATTAAAACATGCACAATTTTATCGAGATTTGCCCCGGTTCAACATCCGCGATCAATTTAAATATTACATATACGCGCGATGTGTAAATAAAAAACTCCGAACTTATAATTTTTAAGATTTTTAATTAAAAATATAAATCTATATAAAATATATATATATATTTACGAATGCACGAGCTAACCAACTTGTGTAAATTAAAAAATTCGAAAGAATCCAAGCACTTCAGGTACCAAAGAATCCAGAATCAGCCCAGACTTTACGTAGGATTTAAAGGAACTAAGAAATTCAGGAATCTACAAAAATCCGTGTGACACATATCCTTTATAGCCTTTACAGCCTTGTTGTCCCCGGTAAAAATAAATTGCGGTAACAACTTAAGCAACAATTTACTAACACCACACACCGATTGTGCGTCTAGGGAGTTTTTCAGGTCTGCGTTTATCTGGGATATATGTATATATATATATGTTATAATATACTTACAAATATATATAAAACAGTATAAAACGATTATGTATTAAACACGCCAGGGTGAATTGACATCTCGATGTCACACCAAACGACAATACGTAATAACGAATCTGTCATTATCATTTGGCATGAAACAGATGGTTACAAAAGATCGTTTGTTTTTGTGAAACGACCTCTCTATTGCAATTTTCTGCGAGTGAGAACCCTTTAACCAGTATTATAGCGTGCAATTATTTTAAATATAATACGCTGGACGCGCTTGTGTATGTACACACGTGTGGAAATGATTAAATTAAACATTTTCGCTAAATCAATCGCACTTGACAAGTGTGCGTTATTATAAATTATTTAAAGATACACACACACACACATACATATATATATACATGTAAATGTATATACACATGTTTGAAGTAAAATTTCCATTTAAATTCGTAAAAAAAATTTAAATTGAAATCTGATCTTCTTCGATTTCTATAAAAATCATCATTCGATATAAAGATAAAAATGAAGCTACCAGTTAAAGGGTCGCGACAAATTACGCAAATTTTATACATAAATATCGTGGCTAGCTAAATAAATATGAACTTCCAATATATACAAAGAAAATTGGTAATAAGCACATTGCTGGAAAAAAAAAAAGAAAAAAAATGATCGAACGCCTGTAATAATCGCTAACGTCGATAATAAAGCTCTCATCACGCTCGCGAGAAGGAAGACTGGCATCATTTTATCTCTCTTTCTCTCACATACACTCACACACGAACACTCGGAATGCTAGAAAAATCGAACCTATTATATGGAAAGCAAACTCGCTTTTCTGAAAACACAATTGTACTGAAATAGAACTATATATGTATAGAGAGTTGTAATTTATTAAATTTATTTGCTTTTTTCTCTCTGTCTCGCGGTACTTACGTGCGGATAAATTCCGCGCAACATATGGTACAAGGTATACTTAACAAAAATAAAAACAAAAACAAAACCCCTCAACAGAAAAGAACAAAATCCAAAAATGTTCTACATTCTTTCTTTTCACAAGGATCCGGGAATTTCTGCTCGCCGCATATCTTTTTCCGCTCCTCGGCTTTTTAACTTTCTCGTGGTAGAGAACACCGTTCTCTCATGATTCATATAGATTAAACACAAAGTGTACTTCGCAATTTTTTATTTTGAAAAATAATAATCGTCAAAATGTTACGAGCACAGAAGTGATCTCAAAGTGATCAAGAAAATCAAAAGTCGCAATAAAAATTAAACTCACTTTCCAAAGAGTCACCACCGTCTTTCGACGAACTTTTTGTGTCCTTTCCGTCTCTATTGTTGTCATCGGGACGTTTTTTTTTTTTTTTTTCGTTTTCTTTTCACTGTTGAGTTTTTCCGTCTCATCAAAACTTCATCACTCGCGCGGCAGCGCGAAAAAATTGCATCCTACATTTTTAACGTTTCGAAAACCGCGGGACTTGTTCGCAAATGCAAATTCACGCTTTGCGCCACTAATTCGCACTGCCACTTCGAGAGAGAGTTGTGTCTCTCGTAGAAGTGCATAAATCCCCTCCTCCCCCCCGTCCTCGTTTAGGCGTTTCCTCTTACGTAATTGCACTCCGCCTCTATCTCACTGAGATATACAGAATGTAAAAAGAACAGATCGTGCTGCGATCGTGACGATAAAACACTGGAGATATATATCGAACTGTCGATTTTTTTGTCTTTCGTTATAAGATCGATTATAATTTTCAAATGAAACCAATTACAGACGAAGTAAAAAGTCGAGTTTGCTTTCCGTCATGACAAATCTCACAAAATGTCGAATGTAACATAGTATAGTGTCACGATATGCATTTTTCTCTTCGTGTTTTTTTTGTGTGTGTGCGATCATTCAAACGTTTAAAATCGAAACAAATTGATTTGACGCACTCAAGATGTTTCGTTCTGTAACACGGTAAAAACATAAATTATGCAACTTTATCGCGCGCGTTTTTATACAAATCCATTCGTTGAAGTGAAAAATTTCGCATACAAAACACAACAAAGACGACGAAAAATCGCGGGATCCTCAAATCAAAATCTGATCGGACAGAAGTTTCCCAGCCGCGAAGTCATCGCGCAAAATTCAAATTTGTGAGATTCGGAAATGTCTTCTGGTTTCCTTTCGTGTTTTTTTTTTTCGAAATTTGTGAAAATACGTATTTATAAAATTGTTGAAAAGCAAATGGTACAGAGATAACAGTTTTTCAGATTTGTTTCGGTTTTTTTTTTTTTTTTTTCAAACTTCAAATATTCATGCGCGAGATTCGAATCGTCAGGAGTGAAGTCAGCTCGCGAAGGACTTTCTTCTCGTGGCAGGATTTCCGAGTCGCGACAACGAACGCGCGCGCGCACACGAAACTCTAAACGAGAACCTCTAAACTCTCGCGCGAACGAGCCTTCTGCTGTCCACATTTGCCGTTTGCCTGCACTATCATGGCGACCGATTGGCAACTGGCCTCGAACGCCATCGGCCGTATCGCCGGCATGGCCAGTCTCAATTTGTACCAAAACTTGCGACCACCGTGGCCGAAAATGGTCTCGTTACCGCACCCGCCGTCCTGCCAGCGCAGGATCGTCAGCCGATCCAAAGAAATGTTGTCGGTGTCGCGCCGCGATCGCTTTGCGATCGTCGCTGTCGTGCTCGGGAGTCCCTTCAGCGTGACGACGATCGTTTGTGTCGGCAACGAGGACAGCTGCTTGAGCACCGTGCCGACGCTCGCGTCCGTCCAGATGTTTCCCAGAGAAGCGGGACTAAGCACGACGATGACTCGCCTAGCCGTGCTGGCGTGTGGAGCGATCTCCAGGTGCCCTGCAAACACACAAGCCACAAGTGGTCCCTTTACATTTGCCTTTTTTAGAACAGCGATATTTCACGTACACTTTTCTCGGACTGTATTGCGCGCGCGAAATCTGTGAATCGCCGGGTTTGTGAGCGCGCACAAACTTTCGACGATCTGATTCGCGCCAACTTTAAACTCGCATATTTTAAAACGAAGGTCCCAGTATGTATATATATATATATATATATATATACATACGTATATCGATTTAGTGGTTTTTCAAAACTCCGCAAAATAGTTTTAAAATTAAAAATCTTTCCGCGAGAAGCTTTCACACGCGTGGAACTTTACACGGCACATTTTTTTCATCCAAGCCTGTGAAAAAATTCTGGAACGTAATTTTCCTAATTAGAGAAGTCATTAATTATTGCGTTGGATAATACGATACTCTCAAAACAAAAAAAAACAAAAAACAAAAAAACAAAAATTCAACGCGCTCATTATTATAATTATTTTCAAGACGCGGACGTGTTGGCGGAGTAAATCCCGTTTCTCATAAAAAATGTCAGTCACGCGGTGTCCCCTCCCCCCTCCTCTCTCTCTCTCTCCGGGTGAAAACGTTCGTGGTCCGATTACCGAGTCGACACCATGCGGTACTGAATTTCGCACGTATACGCTCTCTTTTTTCCGAGGCACTCTGGAAATATTGTCCGCCGCCCGTGTGGCGGCGGGCGGTTTGGATTTCACGGGCGATAAAGTGAAAGCAAACTGGGGCGGCGGTGTGCAGCGCGAGCAATAAAAAACCCGGTCTCCCGATAATGTATGAGTTACCGGCGTGCCACCGTGTATATATACCTCCAACCCCTTGACGTAGAGACGGCGGCTGAGCGCTCGTGCGAACTCAACAAAAACTGATCGACCGAATAGACGCCGACGTTACGCTCCGTTGTTTCCAGAGAAAACTTCGTTAACTCCGAATGAATCAGTGATCTGTGTATGTGTGCGCGCGCGCGTGTGTGTGTTTGTATGCGCGCGCATGAAGATGCAGAGTTGGATAAAAATCAGTATTGCATCAGAAACTACGCAAGAAACGATACTTACTTATTCTCGACGTTGATACTGAGAAATTGTCGTCCGAGACCGTTAAAACATGAAGCTAATAACTCAATTTGGAAAGTGCGATTTGCAAAATTGAATATATACCCTGGAGTGACCTGATTAATTCGCAAGTCGCGCCGAAGCCAAGAAACTCTAGCCCGAGAGATCAGTCGATAAGAGGAGCCAAAAGAGAGAACAATTTGAACAAGCGCCAACGTGTCTAATTTCGACAGATCGTGTACGTATTACACACGCGCGCCAAATTTCATCAAAATTCAAATTTCTGACCCGTTAAAGATTCTCCCTCCCTCTCCCCTCCCCACTTTTTCTCCCGTCGTTCTCCTTTCTCGTGAAATGTCGCGTTTAATCGAACTGCCAGATGGGCCAGAGATCGAAGAGCTCTGATTGGCTCATCATCGCCACTCGTAGGGGAAGAACTTTCAGACCGCCCTGGGCTGAATCCGGGAGAAAATTACGACTCTCCTGTGGATACGTGGAAATCACGGCACTTTGAGAACGAACTTTGTTCATTGACTATCAAACATGAGCGACCGGACCGCCGTAGCGAAGTTCACATGTTTAAACCTCGGGAATCATCCCCGTCCTTTCGCTCGCTCGGCTCGCCCCGAAGCAACTTGGCGGCCATCATAGTGCAGGGGCCGAATGTAAAGCCATCCATGAGCCACGTAATCGGGAATATCGTAATTAGCGAAGTCGTAGCGTAGGACAGAGAGCACGGCCGAAGTGCGGCGAGAAGTACAGAAGAGAGTATGTATATATATATATATATATATATATATATATATATATATATATATATATATATATATATATATATATATATATATATATGTATGTATATATATATTTGTCTGTGCGCGCGTCGTTGTACAATCGTCCGATCGCGCACTTCAATGGAAAGCGATAAAATGCACTCCGCTTACACCCGGGGTGAAGAGCACGATGGGCTTCACAGAATGGCAAGATAGGCGAAACTCCAGCTAATCGCGTCAGTTGTAATTGGCTCGCTAAATGTTGTTGTCCGAGAGCAAAGTGTGTTGAATCCGGGTAAACGCATATAGTTGGCCGAATTCGGGGTAGGATATGTATTTGCACGCTACGCTCCATGTCTGGAGTAATCAGCTTAGAACGTGGAATAATAAGTCAAACAATTAGAATGTGTGTGTTTCCTCTGGTTTGAATCTCTCCTCATCTCCCACGTCATCCTCTTTTTGGACTCTCTCCGGCGTTATTTCGTTTTTTATCGCCGAATACACACGTCGATTTCAAATGTGTACTCCTCCCCCCCCCAAAAAAAACCCCCCAAAACCCCAGATGCTGCTCTTCGTCCGTGTTGTTTTCTCTCTGTCCGATCAAGCCTCTTTCGGCAACTTCGCTCCCCCGGAAAACGCGCGCGCGCACCCGTGGTAGGTAGTACATGTGGGATTTCCGTGCAACTAATTCGATACCACGGCTGCCGCGAAGACAAACGAGACACTCCACGACCGAGAAAGCGGCGAACTTTCTAATTCAATTTGCCAAGTTGCCAAGTTGCCGTGATTCCCACGATCCGCTGAAGGATATACCCATTACTTCCGGTTATAGTACCTACGCCCGCGAGGACCGCCGCCGCCGCCGCCGCGTGTCCTTGTCGCGGGGATAACGATTCTACGCGAGCAACGACGTGGCGGCTCGGGACACTTCCGTGACACGTTTCGCTGCGCGCTGGGTTGCAAATTTTCTTTTGTGTCTGAAATAAATTGCCTCGACGAATATCTGCGGTCCGAGCGAATATCGCGTGAGCGGCGAAAAAAAAAAAAAAAAATTGCCCCGCACGTTGTTACTCACACACGGTTCGGCGCGATTTGATCGGTGAGAGCGTAACAATAGAGCTTTTCTCTCATTGTGTTTGTCGGATAGTTTCGGCCGATTTCCGCGCAAAATTTAAAGCAAAGCGCAGGGTAACGACATTACTTATTAGATTGTGTTGCAATTTTTCCCGTACTCTTTACACCGTGTATCCGAACGACATTATGGCTACCGATCGAGTCTTCTTGTTCAAAGACGAACGAACGTCTTTGAAGACGCACAAATTGCTGGTTTAACAAAATGTCTCGAGAGAGAATAAACGATGCAACGATGATCGTGTTAAAATTACGTATGACACGTAAAATTCAACGACGAACTCACATTGTTAGATTCGATCGACATTCACAAAGGCGAATTAAAAAAAAATGTTCTCGAAGAAAAGATTTCGCTCGCAAGCAGAATTAAAAAGTTAATGAATTTCGTCGCAACAAAACAGACACTTGACAATTAAAAATCGCACAATTTGGTTTTTTTAACAAAAATCGATATAAACATATGAAATAGAACAACGGGTTTAAGTAGCGTGTGAATAAATTTTAAAAGGAACTATCTTTAAGCAGTTTGTTTTTTTTTTAATCATCTCGCTTCGCTTTTTTTGAGTTTTGCATAATTTAACGTCAAAAATATCTTCAAATAATAATCTCGATTTTTAATCTTAAGTAATTTAACTTGTGTCACGCTGTTTTTCTTGAACTCTAAAATATACACATAACGTACGTGTGCAACAACGTATATTTTCAACCATTCTTCAAAAAATCTCAGATCTTCGATTTTGATTTTAAAGAGAGAGAGAGAGAGAGAGAGATACGTCGAAATCCACGGTTCGCACTTAATTAAATTATCCGACGTCCTTATTATATACGCGCCTATAATTCCGTCTCATCTCGAACAAAACCGCGATCGATCCGCGAATCATCCCTCCCAACTTCCCCGCAAAAGCCAATTCGATTCCGCACGACCGCGCTATAATTCGCGCGCGTGAGAGAGAAGCGGGCTTTTATTTAGCCCTAATTCATAAGCCCCACCTCCTGAAATTACTTATCGACCGGCTCGTCGTCGTTAGTCCACCGTCGACACGCTCCGAACGGCAATTCGTGGCCCACATTTCGCCCCGCCGCCTGAATATTTACCCACCCCGACGGCGCTTATATTTACACGGCGTTGCCGCATGCGGGCCGCATCGCCGCGGGATGCACCGCAAAGTAAACCCCATAGGGAGTCTATCGAGAGCACGTCGGTTTCCTTCTTCTTTTTCCCCTCCTCTTCCCTTCTCTCTCTTTCTCTCTCTCTCTCTCTCTCTCTCTCTCTCTCTCTCTTCCACCTTCTTTGTTTTTAAAAGAGAGTCTCGTATCTTATGTAACGCGATAAGGATCTTCGCGTTGCTGCTACTGAATTCTACGTACTGGGTGTCACAAAGAAAGTACAAGGAATACGCGATATACGTGATCCAACGAAGAGAGATAAAGAAAAAAATTTTGTTCTCAAATCTCTTTGCACACGTACGTTCGAGATTGTGAAAAATATCAAAAAAAAAAAAAAAAAAAAAAAAAAAAAAAAAAAAAAAAAAAAAAAAAAAAAAAAAGTAATTGACACAAAATTTTGAGCGAATCAAA